ATTTGTTACGTTTACGAAAATTTACGCAAAATTTTAAGCTACCGTCATGCTTCTTGACTAGAACAATTGGGGCCCCCCATGGGCTGGCAGCCAACCTGACATGCTCCTTCTCGACCGGACTTAAGCAGAATAGGTTCTGCTGGATGGGAGCGGCGTCCCCTGTGTCAATGTGGTGGCATAGCAATTTAGTACACCCAATGTCAAATTTACCTTTACTGAAGACGTCTGAAAATTATCGTAGTAATGCACAGAATTTACCCCTCTGGGAATCAGACAGGTTGCCACTAGCCGAGCAAAGCGATTCTATCCACCGTTCATCGAGGTCGGACTGTGGTTGCGACCGAGGCACATCCCCTATGTGACCCACAACCAAATCCCCCAGGAGCACTGGTGCCGCGTGGGCGAGCACAGTACCCTGAGGAATGACGGTTGTTCGCAACCCCGCATTAAAAACCTGGATGAAGGGCTCCCTATCACCGGAAACGAGCGTCTGTGTACCAACCAGCTCCAACCCCTGGACTGCAGTGTTCGAAGGTCCCAACAAAACACCCTCCGCCGTCACACCCAAATCAAGAGGTTTCCGAAGCCGAAGGGGAACCAACATCTGTGCTCCCGGTGGAATGCGCACCGTTCGGGACGCCAATGCCTGAACGGTAGCGCAGGCCGTGCACAACTGGGCGGGCGAAGGCAAGAAAGTCATGCGTCGGCCGGAGGGGAGGTCGATGCAACCCTGGTTAATCAAGATCTTAATAGGCATCTTGCCCAAGAAATCGGTACCCAGTAGACATGGAACGGTGAGGGACGAGGAGACTAGAATGGGACCCATCAATTTCACATCACCAATACAAATCTGGGCATTGATCTGGCCAACTATGCCCAACGACCCTCCATTAGTGCCGAAACATGGAACGTCAACAGGCCACAAGGAACGACATTTCTCAGGCAAGATATTATAAATGAGATCTGAAATGATAGTTGCAGATGCCCCTGTGTCAACCAGCATTCGGAAAGCGACCCCTCTATGGAACCAACAATAACAGAGGACCCTGCAGTCGCGGCAACAACTCTATGGGCCAACTCGGATAATTTACCCGGTCCGAGCGCCCAATCGGTTTTACAATTATCCGGCCCCCCATCGTCCGACGTATGGTGAACATGCGACGCGTGATGGAGTGTGCGAGGTGAAAGTGGGGGCCGAGAACGTGTGGTGTCGCGACTCGCCTGAGATTGTCGTGGAGCCACGGGTGAGCGCGGAGCCGAGGATCACGGTCCAGGGATGCGGCGTCGAGGTGCTCGGCAGTTCGACGACACGTATCCCTGTAGACTGCAGTTGTAGCATTTGATGGTCGCCGTGTCCTGGCGCGGAGACTTCCATTCCCGCTGTCAAAAGTCCCGCTGATGTCGGCGATCTTCGGCTCTCCAACCCCTTGCCGGAGTCGACACGAAGGCTTGGTTGTGCTGCGACTCGTCCTCAGAGCTGCAGGCATCGGCCGGTGTGGCGCAGGCCGCGAGACTAGTTTCCTTCTGGAGAAGCAGATGCGCCTGAATGCATCTTGCGGCGCACAGGGAGCAGAAGTCTTCGTCATCCACAGCGTGTATGACAACACGCATCTCTCGAGCCAGGCTCAGCAATTTCTCCAACATGAGGGCATCAATTCCCTCGAGGTCCATGCAGGGAAACGCAGCCTTGGCAAGGGCCAGCAGCGCGCTACGGAAGGCTAGGGGAGTCTTCCTCCGAGCAGCAATGTGGTGTCGAGAGTCCGATGTCGAGAGTCCGATGATGGTGGCCGTCGTTGGAAAAACAGGTAAATCTTGAAAGTCACGACGCTGGAACCAGAAGCTAGCAAGTCTAAGCCCATTTCCTGTGGAAAAATGTAGTAGCCTTTCAGAGTTGTTGTTGGGGGTGCCGCTGTCATGTGGAATCACAGTTTGGAAAACTTCTCTAGAAGTACCAGAGACTGCATTGAAATATCCCAGGCACATCATGAGATCCCGTCGTTTTGTGAGGTTTAGTGACTTTTTCAGAGACTGATAGAAGTGGTATTTGATATTGTCAGGTGCTTCGTTCGATGGTGCATATGCCACAGCAACTTATAAATCACCTAGGGTGTGCCTGAATCTAGCCATCAGTAACCTGTCATTCACAGGGTGCCATTCTAATAGGGCTGACTTGGCTGTCCGATCAAGGGAAATAGCCACCTGGCTAGTCGGGGAGAGCCATCAGGAGGCCCCAATCACAGGATGGTGTAGTTTCCTGCAGTGGATTCACCATCACCATACCAACGTACCTGCTAGAGGCCAATGATACTGATTATTGCCCTCTCAAGTTATTTAACGTGTGTGAATTGCACCTGGTTGGCAGAGGATTCTGATGTTCCAGGTGCTGATGCAAGATGGTTTGTATAGATTGAGGATGTCGGTCATGTCCACCGTAGCACACTTGTCACAGATGGCTGGTGAAAAACCAGACTGCGCACTCCTCATTAACCCGCACAATGAGTGATGTCTCTTGGGAGATCATCCCTGCCCGGCGCTTTTCCTGCTTTCAGACTCCAGATCGCTCCTTGTACTTACTTCACGGATGACACCTCAGCCAACCACTCAGAATAGGTGGCTACATCTGGCCATATTTGAAGCACCGCAGCCCCAGCAGGGTCGTCCTCACCTTGCCCCATGATGTTGTCTGGGCTGAGGGAATTCCCCTCTCCCAAGACCTCATTGAAATGCTCTTCAAACTGGCAGACCAGTTCCTGGGGGTTCGAGATCAGATTACCATTCTTTCCCTTCAGGATGGTGATAGATGAGATGCTGCACGTTGCTTTTTTAGGTAATCAAAGTGTGATTTGTGATCACGGGCTACTGAGGCAGATTCCATCTCCTCAGTAATCCGTACCCACTACTAATCCTTGCAGTGCCGCATGCCTCTCCGAACCTCTAGGCGAAGGCTGTAGTAAGCCTCCTTATTCTCCAATTTTGGATTTTGTAGATGGTGAGAGTGGGCCTGTCGTTTTCTCTCAGCTGAAACACCTCCTCTTTCAGCCAGGGTATCTGAGGATGTTTGGACTGCATACCCCATGCAGTCATTGCAGCTATATGAGCCACAGTTCTGAACCTCACCCAATTCCCCTGAGCATGAGGAGGGGGGGGGGGGGGGCAATGCTAACCCCAGCTGCAAGCGATGTTGAAATTCCTGATTGCAACTATCCTCAGCTAGCTGAACCCAGGCTTCTGTGGGTTTGAATGGGGTCCTAGATGGACACATACCACCCGACTGAATGAATGGCAGGCGCATCTTACAGATGACATGCCGATGGTCAGTGGGCAGATCAGCTCCACGGTAGGTCCTGGTGTCAAGGAAATTGGACCGCATCCGCTGTTCTATCACTATATAGTCCAGCAGATGTTTTTGCTTGGACCCGGCGTGCATCCATGATGTGTGGATGTGCCGATGATGTAACGTGTTGGTAACTACAAGCCCATGGTCTGCACAGAACTCTTGCAGCCTCCTAACGTTATTATAGAGCTGATCCGGCCCGTGACTTTCCATCACTCCAACCCTGGTGGCTGCGTAATTGCCCACTTGGGCATTAAAGTCACCCAAGAGGATTACGCTATCCCGAGGATCACTTTAGCAAGCACCTGGGACGAGAGTTTATAGAAAGCGTCTGATCGTTCTTGTCTGCATCCCTCCACTGATGTTTATCTTTGGTGGGGGCATAAGCAACAACTACCACCATCCCTCGCCTCTTGTCGATGGGGCGAGTGTACATTTTCTCACACCGCACTGCCATGCTACCACACCCCTTTCATTCACTCACTTTTACATACACACACACACGTGTACACGTGCATACACACTCACTCCCAGCACGAGGCTGAGTCATTACATCTCACGTAGGATCGCTCCACTGAACAAAATAGTTCCATGGTTTAGTTTGCAAGTGCAAGTTCGCGTTTTAAGTCAATGTAAAAGAAAATTCTGATGCTCCGTAAATGCAGGTGTTTGCAATTCGAGGACTGTATGTAGTAACAAATACGTAAAAATAGACTCTACAAGATGGCTGATTCTCAGGAGGATGAAAGCTCCAGGAGTTCATAGGTCGTGCACAGGAGTGATATCGGCCCATACCTTTCAGGGTCATTGATCAGGTTTGCCCAGTTGAATTACAGCAATGACGATCGCCTCTCGCCATACTTTTGTAATGCTTCATGATTTCAGGTTTTGCCATCTCTGTTACGCCCGTTAAAGAGACCCTATAGAGATCACAGCATTTCAAGTGTAAATGTGTGTTGTGTTGAAGATCATTGTAATTTTTGTTTAAAGCACGTGTAATTGGTCATTTGGAATGCTTTTTGCTGCCGCTATGGTCTGCCAACCACGTGGCCCTTGAAACAAAGTTGTATAGCTCAATGGGCTTTACTCGGGTAAGGGGCCGTCTATAAATGACGTAACGAGATTTTGGACGATTTTTGACCCCCCCCCCCCGTCGTCACACGGCGTCACAAAAAGTCAGTCCCCCCCCCCTCAAATTTGACGTCACAAAGCTCTGCCCCCCCCCCCCCAAATATAAAACATGCTTCAAATCGCTTTAAACTATTGTCATTGTAGTGCGTATTTAATGTGCCGCTGCACTCTGATGTTGTAGGAGAAAACGTTTATTTAAAAGCCTATTTAATTAAGTAGAACGTGTTGTCTATATTTATTTAAAGTTGCGCATTTTGATGTGACGTCACATTTCTCAAACCCCGCCCCCCCCCTTGTCACACATCGTCACAAATGTCTGACCCCCCCCCCAGGTGCGTGACGTCATTTATGAATGGCCCCTAATACATTTCTGACTTTTTATCACGCAAATTCCTCCGCGATCTCACACAATTCGTCGTGTATACATACGCATACCCGTCACATGAGCGCTGTTTTTTTTTGTGCGAGAGCCACGATGTACCACCCTCCCCCCAGTGCGATAATCAGACTCATCCTATATCTCCTCCGTCGCAAGAACTCGCAATGAACAACCTGAACGCACGGCGCGGGAATGTTCGCCCGGATGAAGGCGGCAACGGAGGCAGCCATTGGAACTACATGCTGCTCACGTCCCTGCCATTCCTGGGCGTGGCCGCATACCGTCAGTTACACCAGCACCATGCTTCACCACACACACACACAACCTCCTCTATTATCTGTGGAGCCCGCATTTGCATTATTTGCAATGAATGGGTGATTACAGTTATCATCATCATCAGTTGCGATCTATCTACTGCTGTCATCATCATCTCTCACGGTCTTGTACTGCAATAATCCATAAAACTCCCCCCTATAACCTGACTTATTTCTCTCCATGCTTGCGGTGGTCATTTTCTCAGGCATCTTCCGTCCTTTGACTGCCACTCCATTATTAGTCTCAACCACCAGTCATCATCCCTTCTCGCAATGTGTATTGCCAAATCCCACTTATCTCACTTACTTTTCTTAACAGTCAACATGTCTCTAACGAATCACCTAATCGCCCGCCGAAACGTCACAGGACTCAAATTGTAAATGCTGTGGGGTTTACTCTCCAACACATCGGGTGTGCAGAAGTAGTAACTAATTGGCACGTTTTGTTTACGTGATACAGCTAATTGGCTGTCGGGCAGTGACGGGTTACCGACACATTTATATTTACGTGATCTAACCCAACAAAACAAATCTTTGTTATGGATATTGGTCGCGAACGCCTCTTACGTGTTAAAATGTCTCCAACTTGTATGTCCTCTAATTCGCGTGTTTCTCTTTCTACTATTCAGTTTATTTCTAAGCATGGACCACTCGTGGCTTCATTGAACACGTTTAAAGTTGTTTTTTCTCATTTGATTTATCAGTGTCCTTTCATATATGTAGTGGGTTAAATTCAGGCGCACACTGGAACTTTGGGGGCAACACTTCTTATTAGCTAACTCTCAACATTAACAGGATAACGACATAGGGTGGTAACCACCGTTCCTAACTTGGCTAACACACGGGGATACTACATTTCTGGACCCGAGACCGAGGATCGTAGATGGTGGCTTAATCCCAGAGTTGACCCAGCAGAACAGCCCAGAGCAGTCCAGCTCTCCGTCCACACCCCGCTTATAACTACTCTGGCGTGGCAGGCTCCGCCCCAGGCCACGCCCCCCTTCCCGATGCTTCGGGAAGGCCCGAGCCCCCAACCAAGTGACCCCCCTGGGGCCCCTGGCCTCCCTTTATCCGGTCACGTGTCCTGTTGGGTTCACGCAGAGTGTCACGGCCTGACACGACCTCCGTGACACCCGCCTACAGCCCTCATATCGAGCCACAGTAGTGTCGTTCTACTACGCTACATATATAACATATCTACTCCAGATACTGTGATGTTTTTCCATGTTTATACCTCTCATGGATAGTATACATTGTTCAGCAATGTTGCATGTAATTATCTTGAGCCCTACTTTGCAGCGTTCTTCATCATGTCCTCGAATTCATTTACGTTGGTTGTCATAATCACTGTCATAAAAAAAAATTTGCGCCTGTGACAGACCATGGAGACAACTAGCCTCTTCAAAACGAGGTTTGGGAGACATGGCCGAGTGGCTCAGGTGCCAGAGCTCTGAGTTGGCACCTGTCCTGAATTAGACACCCGTTCATCCTCAACTGCACCCAATGAGAGACAAGTCAGCGAATACACAAAACTGTACAAGGAGTGCAAAAGACCATCAACAGTATCCGTAATGGACCAAGCTTTAGACCCGGTATCACGTCTTTCCAGGGCTATTGAAGTGGACAAACAGCCGGTCAGTTTGTCTCTGAATGATCTTTCATCAAATGTATGGAAGCTGGGCAGAAGGCCAGCTGAATGGGAAGGCTCCATTTCCTATATGTAAGGGAAGGCACTGAAATCCACTCACAGTAGCGATCGCTCAAAATCGCTACCTGCAATCCCCCTTTGCCCGGCTGTAACTGCTTATTTTTCAGCGTGGCCGGCCACAGTAGTCAGGGCTCACAGAGGCTTAGTCAACTATATAGGCGTGCCGTCTCGCTTTAACGAGCGACTGTCGTTTTCCCCATCGACTCCTCGCATGTTAAGAGCTGAGCTATGTTCAGCCCCAAAATGTTACACTCTTTAACAGTTTTTTTTAACGTGAGAAACACAAGCTATAATTTTAAAATAAAGTAATAAAACATCAATTGTAACACTCACCACACATGAAGAACCACAGTGCTTGCAGGTGCCTGGCATAGCTGTAGTTTGAAGGGTAGATAATATTAGTGGGTGGAGGGAGCAGCAGGGGTCATGTCGGACCGCCGGTTCAAATATCACTCGCCACTGATGTTAGCCGTGGCTGCGAATCGAACCAGGGTTGCTGGGGTTCATGCGAGATGAAGTGCGACTTCCTGTCCTCAGCGTCTGCAATTAGCGCCCCCCCCTAACCCCCACCCCCCCTACCCCCCACCGACCCCTCCCCCACACCCACCTATTACATCGCCACCACGAGGCCCCCTCCCACAGACGAAGAAACACGTGGGCACAGCACAGCTGGTAAACAAAGAGCTGTGGGCCGTCGTAAGCCCTCTGCTGTCAAGGGACGCATTTGATCGATCTCCGCTCACTAGGTGAACATATTCTCGTTTTGTGAACAAATGGGTCTCAATTCAAATTTCTCGATTTAGCGAATTCTCATAGAAAGAAGGGAGACACCTGTACACACACTTCCTGCCCTTCACCTTCTCACTAAGCTGCATTGAGAGTTCAACAAACCTTTGCACGTGGCATTTTTTTTTTACATCAAGACGGCATTTGAGAAATGTGATGGTTCGTGCTCTGTGAATGACACCGCCCGTGTTGACTGTGCATCGGTGCTCACACCAGGCTGGTTCCGGTACCGCGAGGAGATGGTCAAGCAGCACGCGAGTGGCTACCGCGATGCCCTTGACGCTGAGAGGAAGCAACAGCAACGTGATCTCGACGTCAAGAAGTCGCAGCTGCAGGCCGAGCAGCATGCACTGAAGTTACGTGACAAGTTGCTGCAGGATAAGCACCGCTTGCTGGAGACACAGCGCGAGGAGCTGAAAGTTAAAATGAGCAAAATGGAGTTTCAGTACAAGGAGCTGCAGCAGAAGAAGTCCAAAATGGAGTCGGAGAACAATGAATTGCAATGTGCGTTGCGCACGATGAAATCACAGCGCGAAGAGCTTCAGGGTAATCAGCGCGCAGTGGAGTCTCAGCGTGCAGAGCTGCTGGTCGAGCGGCGCAAGCTGGAGTCACTGCGTAGTGCGGGACCGTTGCACGATGCCGTGCTGACCCAGGAGGAGGAAGCGCTGGGCGGGGTGCGGTCGTCACTTCGGGTGCTGGAAAACAACCTCGAGCGGCGTCAGGCCATCTACTGCGATCCGCAGGTGTCGCAGCACAGCAGGCTCGATCTGGAGCGCAACATACTGCAGCACGCGGGCTCGGAGCCATTTCTGAAACGCATGGCGGTGCGCGACGGGCTCCTTGACATATTTGCCAACGACGAACACTGCTCACACACAGGACAGCGCAATGGAAAGCTCATGTGGGTGTACATGCAGCACTGGCAGTCGCTCCTGCAGCTGCACAAGTACCAGCGAGCAGAGCAGCGTCTGCACACGGAGGATCCGCTCAAGCCTCTGTCGAAATGAGAAGTGCGGTGTGGATGGCAGCGATGCCATGCTGGCAATCGCTGTGGCTTCCGTGGTTATTTGTGGGGTTTGAACAAGATTAGGGCTGGTATGGAGAATGGGTTGTAAGGTTCATTAATGTAATTTATTAATAGAATACAATGTACATAAAGAGTGGACAAACTGCATATGAACAGGGATAGGCAGCCAGTCAAAGGCAGAGGAAAAAAGGGAGGGTCTTGAACAAGAGCAGGAAATCGACAGCACAGATGGTTGGGCTAAGGGAGCTCCAATGTCAGTGGAAAATTAGCAATCTCCAACTTAGCAAAGGTGGTGTAAGCAGGGGTGGAAATGGTGCGAAATCACTTCGGGGAAATCATATGTGCCGAGTGTAAGAGGCAAATCTCCCCCCCCCCCACGCACACACGAATAACAGTGTACAGGTGTGCCTCGCTTAACGAGCGAGATACGTTCTGCGAACATTTCTCAGTAAGCAAAGACTCGTTAAACGATCGTCGTTTTCCCATTGACTCACTCCTTTGTTATAAGCTGAGCTATGCTCCAGCCCCAAAGTGTCCCACTCTTGAACAACTTTTTTTCACATGAGAAATACAAATTACTGTATCATTTTTTATATAGTCATAAAACATAAAATGTGACACCACACATGCAGAACCACAGTGCAAGATACCCCGTATAGCCCATGATATCACCTCCTTATGTCCATATATCAAATCAACACTATCGCACACACACACTCTGTCTCCACTCGCACAGCCTTTCCGCACTGTATCGCTCTCCATCTCTCATACATGTGTAATGACAGGGTTACACCTGCTGACATGACAAAGTGACACCTGCCGGCCTGGGAAGGGTTTCACGGGTGCAGCCACAGAGGTAACAGCCAATCAGGGAAGGAGGCGTATCTGGGGCAAAGGTAACAGGAAGAGCTAGCCGAGATGCTCCGAGAACCTGCTCGAAGGTTCCACGAGAGGGCGTGGCCGGAGGCGGGGCTTAGCCACGCTCCCTCAGGCGGGGCTTAGCCACGCCTGGGGGAGCGGACCCGGAGCTAGGAGCTCAGGGCTCGTGTGGATCCTGGGTCCTGGTGTGTCGCTGTTCACCGACATCTCTCTCCATCGTCCGATCACGTGGAAGATCTCCTGCGTAGGTTCCATCGCCGTCATCGATCGTCACGCCGCCAGCCAGCGGCGGAGACGAGTGAAGGCGAGGGGACCCCGCTGAGTGATCGGCTGTGCGTGTAGCCAGTAGAGACGTTATTGCCTAGAGTTATATTCAGTGAGAGGAAGAATAAGAAATAAAGAAGAAGTATCCTCTATACGACGTGTCGTGGAAGTCGCTCATTGCACATGTGTAGTGGTGTATTCACACGGACACTTTCAGCTTTTCTCCTGTGTCACTTTATTACCTGGCATCCCACACGGATGCTCCTCACTCTTTACACAATGCACTCTTGCTCCGAACTCTCTCTCTCTCTCTTACTACCGCTAACCTGTTACTGACCACTCCGCTTGCCTAATTATAGATTTATTTTATTTTACCTACGTGACTTTACCGAAAAAAACAAAGAGTATACTCCGCTAGCCTGTTACTGAACACTCCGCTAGCCTGTCAGCCTTCTCTCACACCTCTTACCTCGTCCGTGCCCCCAGCGGGGGATCAGCCAACACCGCTGGGGAGGACGAGGTGTGGATGACGAGGTGTGGAGGGCGAGGTCCCAGGCTTCTTGTCTCCGGCTCTTGTCCTCTTTGATCTCTCAGCTCCAACCAACTCAACCGCGTGTTCTTCCCCCACCCATTTATATCCTCCTCCTCACTAAGGGTCCTCAGTTGCCCCCTCTTAAGCCGGCGCCTCGGCGGTGCCTCCTGCACGTGCTCTCTCTCCCTTATCGTCTCTATCTCCGGTCTCTCCAGCGCCTACTCCGTGTTTGCACGCTTGCACCTGCCTGTCCCCAAATGCACCCACCTAATTACCACTTATCCCCTTGATTTCTTTAGAACTGCTGTTTCTGTTTAGTTTGTTGTCCTTCTGCCGCACCTCAACTTTAATTCTACTATTAAGTAATGTTAATTTTAAACGGAAATGAATATGCAAAGCTAAAAATAGTAAATTTCGATTTAAAGCTTTCGTGACTACAAGGATTCATCAAAATAGTATCGGTCATATATAAAACAATATATTTTATTATTTTATTGTTTCCCTTCAACGTGACTTTACCGAAAGAGCTAAGAATATGAATTACTGCAGTCACGAAAGCTTTAAATCAAAATTTAGTATTGGTCAGTTAATTGGGGGTCACAAGACATCTAGACCACCCTGCATAATGCAGGTGTGCAGACTTGAGCATCGTGGCTTTAAGCTATTAAATACATTTTCCACATGTTATCAGAGAGTTCATGGCATAGTTATTTTACCTGAGTGATATTTTGGGCTTAAGGTAAACTGGGTAGGGTGCTTTCCAAATGTCCACGTGTACCTTGGTAAAGTGATTTCTCTGGATGTTCATGTTTTATGTTTCAGTTATTCAGGCAGGGTGAGTGAGTCCAGGAGAATCGTTATGAATAGGTTGCTTCAGAGTGATTCAGGCAGAGTGGTATTTAGGCCGCTCCCGCCTATCGTGGTGCGTGTTCGGCTGGCCATGACCCGTCTCTGCCGTGGCTTCTAAGGAGCGATAGTTTGTTGGCGTTGATGAACCTCCCAGGCCTCTACATTTCAGGAACCTAAAATCTGTGGGAGTGCAAAGTCGACAGCACCACCGAGTAGGGAGGTTGCAAGTCTCCCAGGCATTCACCTCACTGCAACTAGGGACAGGCGTGTCTTCACTGCATCAGAGCCCAGGGGTGTGAGGCTACAAAGCCACTCCTGAGTCTAGCTCATGGGTCTGAGGCTGCAAGCTGCTCCTGCATGAGGCCAGCAACAGTTTCCAGAGTCAAAACTCCATTGTGCGTTTGGGAGACTTTCGGGGAGACGTGAGCGGGTTGGATACTGTTATTGTTTCGTGTTGTCTTTAGTTGTGTTAAATATTAAAGTGTGTGTTTGTAAGAGGTGGTGGTTCCTCGATTTTGTTGCCTGTGCCGAGGAGTGCCTGTGCACTAAAAGCTAGGTTGGGCTGATCTGCTTTACAAGGGGTTTGGAGAAAAGTCTTGTCAGAGCCAACCCTCATAACCTTGAACATTTTCTCTCTTAAATGCTTTAACCTGACAGGTGTTCTGTCAAGGATGGATTTAGACAAGACCTGCGTGCATAATAATTTTCTGGTGTTCTTCATACTGTTGTTTTAAATGGGAGTTGAGGGTGAAAATAAACGTTCAGAAACACAAGGTGTGGCCGGGCCCTATCTCGTGCGACAGTGGCTGTTTATCTGCGCATGTGCGATTTTACGGAGAAAATATGGTCAATGCATTTAGCAGTTCTCTCATGATCCCCTATGAGAGTCGATTACCGAGTCTGACCCTAACTACTTAATAAACTTTAAAGCAATAAGACGTTTTTTTAAAAGTGATGTCTGAAACGCTCACTGCAAATTTACGCCACGAGGTGGTGTTTGCAGATAACGCTGCGCTATGTGAACAGCGTTTTGGGGTGTGCACGGGCCAATGCGATTGCACTGCTTTATACGTATTACAAATTATTTTAGTAGCAAACTTGCTGTGTGGCTCCTAGGGAATGTGGGTTATTACGAGAGTCTCACACTAATCGTTATAACTGCTTATGTGCATTTTACTGCCAAATGTGCACTCACTGAAACCCAAAGAGTGACCAACGTAGACGTAAGAAAAAGGGTGCGCACAAAAGAAGACCTGATGATGATGCAGATGTAACTGGCTCGCCCTATCCCTCTCATCCTGTGATCGTAACGAGGGGGCAGGCCGGCTAATAAAGACGACATAATAGACAAGTTCGGAGGCGATGAGTGAACACTCTGCGTTGTGTTCTGCCCTCCTCTTGAGGATCCAGTGACTCCGTCACCGAGGGACACCTCGAGGGTTGTGTAACTGAAACTCTTTCTTTCAAAGTGTTCTTCGGAGGAGCATTTGTGTATCTGTAATTATGACCAGATCCACACCAATCAACCCCACGTTACACATCACCTCGATTCTCAATCCCTGCACTGTATAATGATAACACCTGCTTATCATATATACGCCACATTTAACAAAAAAACATCTGAAATATTTCACATTTAACAAAAACATCTTAAATAACCACCTAGAGTGCCTTCTAAATACTCTACCCTAGGCACAGCCACTGTGATAATACTGCACAAATATATATTTTTAATAATAAAACATTTTATAATCTAATTGTATGAATCAAATGTGAATTTGCCAAATTATTTTAAATCACCATAAATTTATAAAGCAACTATTCTTTCTTATATTTGAATCAGAACAATCTCTCCCCAAATACAAATATAATTCTGCTCACTCCATCAGCTCAATGTTAAATTAAAAGCTGCAGGGCGGCCATTTTGTGCGGGTTTCTTTTCCCAATAACTAAATATCACTACATTGAATCAACTATCACAACAGTAACTGTTATTTTTATCACTATAACATTAGAATCACCTTCCCATTACTTTATGTCCATTAAATTAACTTTACTTTATCAAACTAGGCAACTTATTAGCACAAAAACAAACGAAATAAAACTCTAAATAAATTAACTTATCATACCTGTAGTTATGACCAGATGCACACCAATCAACCCCACGTCACGCAACACCTCACTGCGCGATTCTCTGCACTGTTGGGATTGAGTGCAAGTGTTAATATTCTGCACTTTATTTATTAAATTATTCAAATCGTCTTTCATTATCAAAATCTTAATTGTGAATATATTTACTATCATTAAACAATCAGCAGCTAATTAATATTACTTAATCTCTATCAGTTAATTCATAGTAGAATAACAATAATGGCAATTATTAAACAGCAAGGCCATAGACATGGAGTCAACATTGGGGGAGACCAAATCTTCCAGGGTGTCTGGGGGTCCCAACCCAGAAAAAATTCTAAATTAGAAAACTAATTTCCTGCCTAAAATATTTAAAAGTTCACTAACTCATGGGATGGACTTTTTATTTATTTTTTACAATGTCTAATAGTGAATTGTATTACATAGCTCTGTTTTTACTTTTTTTTACAATTTCTTGATTCATTGTATGTAATGGCAGAGATTAGGGATTAATAAAGTACAACCATAACCACAATCATATAAACAGAAATCTATACATTCATTTATATGAAGACAAGTCCAGATATTGTGGCTAAGGTTTAGCAAATAGTTGTTTGCTAAACCTTGGCATAGCAATTATTTTTATAGCAATATATTGGGGGGGACATTTTGAGCATATTTGAATATTGGGGGAGGGGATGTGTCCGACCCCCATATCTCCATATATAAAAGGCAAAGTTGTGAATGTGTCTGTTCAAAATGTTTAGCGTACTTCCCGCCATGCAACAAACTGAAAATTTGCCATGTGGGTACTTTCCAGACTGTACACCATGCAAAAATTATAACAATACACTTTTGTTTTGGGAGGGGGGGAGCTCAATAATGCATATATTCTATATTTGAAGCTTTCGTGACTGCAAGGATTCATACTCTTTGGTTTTTTCGGTAAAGCCACGTAGGTAAAACAAAATTAAAATAAAAGAAACCAACTAAATCAAATCACGACGTTTCGGAGGCAACACAAGCTTCCATCTTCAGGTGGAACAGTCACAGCAAGCTAGCTGCATCAATATATAAAGAATTAAAGCTTTCGTGACTGCATAAATTACTCATTGGTTTTTTTCGGTAAAGTCACGTATGTAGAAATACCATAAATCACATTAAAACAAATCACTCACGACGTTTCGACCGCAACACAAGCGATCCTCATCATTTGTGACGATGTGTGACAAGGGGGGGGGGTTGAGAAATGTGACGTCACATCAAAATGCGCAACTTTAAATAAATATAGACAATGCGTTCTACTTAATTAAATTGACTTTTAATAAATGTTTTCTCCTACAACATCAGAGTGCATCGGCACATTAAATACGCACTACGATGTCAATAGTTTAAAGCGATTTGAAGCATGTTTTATATATACTTTTTTTTTGGGGGGGGGGAGCAGAGCTTTGTGACGTCATATTTGGGGGGGGGTCTGACTTTTTGTGACGCCGTGTGACGATGGGGGGGGGGGGGGGGGGGTCAAAAATCGTCCAAAATCGTGTGACGTCATTTATGGACGGCCCCTAACTCCGACACCATAAGGTGAATGAAACCGCGTAAATTCCGTGAGAACTTCGGGGCGGACGGGTTCCTCTAAAGTCCACCGTTACGTGCCCACGTGCCCACACACGCGCGCGCGTGCTTTCGCAAACAGGTCGTGAGACACACGCAGACAGACAGACACAACACGTCTGCACAATCGCCCATCGCATAAAAATACTCTCAACACGCAGACACGCACTGCCATAGACTTTAAGATCAACCCCATGTTACCTCTTAACAGACTCTTAGTGAGCACCTATTAAGGCCAGCGCCGACACACAACAAGCTCACAAAACGCACTTGAACAATTACAAATGACACAGACTACTTTCAAAAAGGAAAACACCACATGGATAACAAATATGCAAACCGCGCACACAACGACTATAGCGCTGGAAGGGATGACACCACGGCGGCCATATTGCACGGGGACTTTTAGTTGTTACGGCGGCCATGTTGCATGGGGGTTGTCTTCCTGGCAGCTGATTGGCTGGGGCAGTGGGAGCGATGACGTCGATCCCTTGCGATCGACCGCGCACCAGCGATGGAATTGTCGCCGGGACGCTCTCTGCGCTTCTGCACCGCGCCCGGCGGATTTCGCGCGGGTTTTGTCCGCCCCCACCCCCCACCCCAACAGGCTAGTCGTCTCTGCCCGTCACTCTCGGCGGGCGCGTCAATATATCGCCTACGTGACGTCACAATCAACGGATGTGCGTTTGAGTGGTGACGTCACATTACGACGTATAACGAAGTCGTTTGGTTGCATTAACAACAAAGACTCGTCAATAACACTGCGGACTTAAAAGGAAAGAATGTTTACCATGCGACGTTTCGGGCAATGGCCCCTTGTTAGTTCCCTCCACGCGTTTAGA